TTCCCATGACTGTCCCTTGTATCAGATATTTCCTTCAGGGACAGACTACCATTTCATCATGCGTTAGGGTCATGGACAGCTACACCTGACTTTTCAGTTAGGGTTTGGATCAAACATGGAAGCAATAAGGTTTTCTAGGTCAGAGGCCCTTGGGTACAGAGGCCTACAGGGCTTGTGTAAGGGACTGGGGACTCAGGGTAAGGGAACTCTTACATATAGAAATAAGTTTATCTTGGAACCTTGATTAAAATTTAGCCATTAGAATTACATACCATTTTCCAGAAGGTTTATCATCTTCATTTAGCAAAGAGCTCATGCTCAGATAGCTTATAATGAACTTCCGTGTATATTGGAAGAGTAAGTAGATGTGACTTTGAGGGAATATGTAAGTCTCTTAAATCAAAATAGAAATATTCCTAAACTTGAAACTGAAGGAGATACAGGGGGTTGATTAAATAAACTGCTGTACAGCTGTATAATGTTGTACTCAACAACAATGAAAATGGTGCTGTAGGTCTACTCTTATTGACATATTGTTACAGGGAAAAAAGTATATACATATATAGTAATAGCTTGAATTTTTTTTAATATTGGCTTAATATCTACTTTGCCTAAAAGTATATGCATGTATTCCTAAAACAAGTGTTTAAGAATAGACACCAAAATGTGAGCAGAGGATATTTCTTTATGGTGGGATGGTGGTATTTAGATTCATCTTTACATATGGCTTTATTTTGTGTTTTATGTTTTCATTTGTTTTATAATATTTTTAATGATTATTATTAGAGTAAATATAATAAAGAGTACAAATAAAGAGAAATAGAAGATATTCTGTTGTTGGCCTTATAGTACATAATATCTGTACTTGCTAACTGCTGTACTTTTATTTTGAAAAATTTTAAACTTACAGAAAATTTGAAATTGTAATACAGTGAACAATATACCCTTCACCTAGATTCAAGTATTCTTGCAGGCATTGTGAAACTTTACCTCAAAACACTTCAGCAGGCAGTGCCTCATAACTGGGACTTCCCCTTGTATAACCACAGTACTGTCATCATCACATACTAGAAATAGTCATTATTACAAGACTGTTATCTAATAAAGTCCATTGTAACTTGAAAAATTTCTTCAGACACAAGATTCAATCAAGGATCACATCTTGCATTGGGTTGCCATAGATTGTTCTCTTTTAATCGTGAATCTTACTTTTTTTTGTCTTTAATGACATTGACATTTTTTTTGTTTGTTTTTTTTTTTTCTTGCGTTATGCGGGCCTCTCACTGTTGTGACCTCTCCCATTTGTGGAGCACAGGCTCCGGACGCGCAGGCTCAGTGGCCATGGCT